AGCTTGGCAACTCTAGCAATAGTTTAGCAAGTCATTTTCAAACTTGCAGCTCAATTGCTTGCTATCTGGGAGACTCTTTAAAAATGATCCTCCCGAGTGTCCAAAATCCTCAAAAAGCAGAATCTGTGCACTGAGCCCCTGAGAGCTCATTCTAGTGGTTACTTTACAGATCTCTACAATTAATATAATAAAAATATGAAAGAGCAAGCATAGAAAACATATTAATATGAAAAATAATTGTTATAAGAACTCAAAATATATGCTCACTGAGCATCCCATTGAAGCCGGTTAACTAACCAATACACAGTCCAGAATGCCTCACCCTCCATTTCAGCAGAGGTGATTTGATAAAATACCAATCATCTGGTCACATAACAGGCCATTTTGGTGGGAGACAGACTGGTGTTTTCTTTATAACAGGTAAGTATTTCCAGAGTTCATTTAGCACATTTCAATTAAAGGTAAGGTGAGTAAGAAGGCTAGGAGGTATGTTTTTTCTTTATGTTCATTTTAAGAACAATCACGCTGTATTGTTCTGTAGACTAGTATATGATCTGAATAATAATGTTACTTGCATAGAACATTTTTATCTCTTGCCCTCTAGTGGCAAAATAGTCACATTTCCAAAGAATTGCATTTTTCCATGAGTCAAACTTGGAACAGAAAAAAATTCAGGGGTCTATTCACTAAGCTGCCGTAGGCAGCCGAGTGAATAACCGACCCGAAGTGAAGTGAGCCGAACGCTGTTCGTCTATTCACTTCAGTCTTGTACGGCTGATTTCAGCCGTATATTGGCTGAAATTAGCCGTACATCTGCTTGCTTCGTGTGGCTTTGTGTCGGCCGAACATGCTCAGTAAGTTCGGCCGACCCGAAGTGCAGAAGGAGTTCGACTCCGGCAGGCTACTCGCTGCTGTTCGGCCTATTCTCATAGATGCTGAACAGCAGTGAGTGAATAGCCGAGCGGCATTCAGCTCGGCTATTCTGCTCAGTGCCCCTGTGGTACCGAGCAGAATAGAAAATAGTTTTAAAAAGTAGAAAACAAAATGGAAAACGATTGGGCGGAGCGAGCAGTGACAGCTAGCTCCGCCCAACTGTTTTCTATTGACCGGGCGGTTCTGCTGCCGTCAGAATAAAAAAATTATTTAAAAAAAAACACCATAGGAATGCATAGCTAGATTCCTATTGGCCATTTCACTTTGCAATAGTCAATAGCAAACTGGCTACTGCGCCTGCCCTATGCTGCTGTCAATCACTAGAAGGGGACCTGATGGAGAACTTCAGGTCCCCTCTGCTGATTGACAGCAGCAGTGGGCAGGTGCAATAGCTAGTTTGCTATTGGCTTTTGCAAATTGAAATAGCCAATAGGAATGTAGCTATGCATTCCTATGCTATTTTTTTTTTCTGACTGACGGCAGCCAGCGGCTCCGATGTCAGAAGAAAAAAAAAGAACAGAGCAGGGTAAACCTTTCTGGGAGAAAGTGTTTCTCTCCATGGCGGCCGGGAGCCGCTATCTAATAGCAGGAGACTTCTGGAGCATCCGGGAGAATAATGACAGATCAGCATCCCTGGTTACCTTGTAACCAGGGACGCTGATCTGTCTCTGCAAGTGGCCGGAGCCAGCCGTGAGATGATGTCTGGCTCCGCCCAGCTGTCAGTAGCAGGCTGTCGGCCAGCCAACGACCGACCGTTTGGCCAGCTTCGCCTTTTACCTCGGCTCAGTCGAGCCGAGGCATATGCCTTCGGTTCAAACCGAGCCGCTCGACCGACTTCGGGAGCTGTAGGGCTATAGTGAATAGCCCGTACAGCAGCCCTTCGGTTCTACTGAACCTGGGGCCGAAGCTAGCCGAAGGATCAGGTGAAGCTACGGCTAGATCCTTCGGCAGCTTAGTGAATAGACCCCATAATGTTTAATGGGATAAAATACAAATTCAAGATAAAAAGAGGCTTTTACTATTTATCTTTCTTGTAAAATAATGGTTGCAGATGTATATTTTATTTAAATGTGTGGATTTAATGTTTTTATGTGAAAATTATGAAATAAAATAACAAACACAGTTCAAATAGCTTCTACAGCTTTTGGACTGTACCTATAATGTGGGGCCATGTCGTATCCCACAATAACCCATAAGATACTAATATTCATTAACCAGAGACAATAGTAGAGCATGTTCACTTTGCAAGGGAATATTCATTTTTCAAAGGAATTTTCCCTTAGCTTGGTGAATGTGGTGAAAATTCATTTTGCTAAGAGTATCAATCATGTGCAAGGAAAATAAAGAAAAAACTGTATATTTGCTTGCACATGATTGGATGATGGAGGTCAGCAGAGCTTCAAGTAATTCACTATACTAAGGGAAACTTCCCTTGCAGAGTGAACAGCCTATTTGCCTTTAGTAAATCTAAATAAAAAAAGTAAAGTAAATCAGGTAAGAGGCCCCAGATCACAATTTTGTATTTGACAACATTTTATGAGCCTAATACAGGTTTTAAAAAGTTATAGATTGTCACTAGAGTTATTATAATAAAGGAATAGAGACTGTACATGCAACGTGAATCTTTTCTTTTTTTTTTTAATTCTTTAGTTTGAATTTTCATATTATAAGCAGTAAAAACAAAGAACAGAAGGTAGCACAGAAGGAAATGCAATTTACATATTAGTACAGTCAGGCGTACAACACCTTGTTCACAACATAACACTACTAACAGAGGCCTCATGGGTAATATACTAATAGGTATATGCGTATCCCCTGAATTACAATCTCATTGAGCCCGGGGGGCCAAGCAGGCATAAGTAGTTTGCGGCCTATCGGCACACAGCCAGGTTGGACCCACCTAGCCGTCTGCCCACAGTGGCCACCCGCTGGACATTCGCCGGTTGTGTTAATATTGTTTGGTAGGTAAAAGACTATG